GCCTCCCTGCTCACCCCTCAGCTGGCTGTGATTGACAGCAGCAGAAGCCAATGGCTCCAGCTGCTGTGTCTGTACCAGTGAGGAGAGACAGAGCCGCTGCTCTCATGCACATCGTTGGATCAAGATTGGGCTCAGGTAAGTATTTGGGGGGGGGGGGACTTGGGGGGAACTGCTTGCAGAAGGTTTTCTTACCTTAATACAGAGAACCACTTTAAGCAGAATTCAGTAGGCATGTTCCAGATATTGGAAACTGGACTGAGCTCTTTAGAAGTTTTCTAAATATGTATTAAATATTTACTGGTGAAGTCTAAACACCCATCCATAAATGATGATTCTCAGACTAGCATTTACAAGCTAGGGTTAAAAAAATACCCATGTGTACATAGCCATAGCGCCTGTTATTATGCATTAGGTCAAATGTCTGTATGGCTTAATTTTTACAGGATACAATCTGTATTACCTTTTCTAGCTTCATTTTCATCTGTCTTTTGACTGAATCATCAGCCTGTAAGTACAAAAAGGTACATCAATATCTGAATTGTATCAATTATGTATATGTCTTCACAAGTAGTACATTTTATTTTGCCTACCATTTCTGGTTTTACTGCTTGAAAAATCTGCCGGTTCAAGGTTTATAGGTGACAATGTACTAGAACTAAAAGAAAACCCATTTTAAACATTTAAAATGATTTCAAGTACAATATCAGTGGTACATAGATGCTGTATATATTAATAATTATATCTTTTTATCTCATTAAAGAACTAGTGGATTAGTGCTAAACCATTGTGGTTGTATTGTGTGACACATTGGAACTACCACTAACACATTATTTATCAACTATAAACACTTCTATGCCTGCTATATCAAACTATTTATGAGGTTCCCTTTTCTGGCATAATACTTGCTTCCTCAATGAACGAGGGTACACATGCCCACATACCAAAGCCAATGGGACCCAACGAGTTAACCTAATTTTATAATTAGGATTTGTATAGGCAAGAACTGGGGAGCTTGTGATCAAATTTTCCTAAAGAAAGAGATCGAGCACATATTATCCATTTCTTCTTCAAAATCAATGACATAAGAGAGAGGATAAAGCACCTCTTATTGTGTTATCAAAGTCACGCCAATTTGTATCAGTAATGGTATATATCAGGGATCAAAATGTAACAGCAATATACTGCTTGTATTAAGAGACTATTATAACATGTCCCTGTCCTCATCGTAGTAAATCATATTTATAATCCACGATAAGTATATTATTAGTCATCTTTTTAAGTGATCCATTGTGGACAACAAAGCATAGCTGAATTAAATATATTATTCACCCATCAGTGTTTTCAGCTTCACTGTTCAGCAATGTTATCTCTTCAAACAATCATTCTCATTGTTCACTATAAGCATGTACATATACATTCATTCATGGAAGACGCTATTCCCCAATTTGTCCCTGACTGGAGACTGCTGCTATAAGCTATTTCTAAAAGTGAAGGGGGGGGATTGGCTTTCTAGCTCTATACACTGTATCTCAGAGTTCGCCCATAACTCCTAATGCCTCTATCCAGGAAGGAATCATGCATAAGTAGGCATATTGATGTTATCTTGATTCCAATCAATATAAAAGGTTAGGCAGAGGTTGCTTGTTCTCAGTCCTATAAATAAGTATAAAGTGCTCTAAATCATATACAAAATAAGAGTGCTCAAACCCCAAAAAAAGAAAAATGACCTCAACATGTTTCACTCCTACAATGGAGCTTCGTCAGGAGTAAATATATGTGCACCCCATATTGTGTCAAGCAAAAGCACAAGGTTCAATGTCAGGAATGGACTCACCACTGGTGGTGCTGTGGCTCACTTGCTCTGTGGGCTGCAGTACCAGCTCCTACCAGAGGATGCTTTCAGCAGCCAGGGTCTTACTCCTGCAATCAAGCCATCACCTGAGGCTGATTGCAGGAGGTCTATTTAAGCAGGACCAGGCCTGCAATCAGTGCCTTGGTGTTTTCCCATGAGCCCCTGTATCTTGTTCCCTGGGCATCTGTTCCTGAGAGAAGTTACCTTGTTGCCGACCCTGCCTGATCCTGATTCCTGTTGACCATCTCCTGCTCTGGCTCGTCCCTGACTATTCTTCTGCCTACTTTTATGCTGTTTGACCTCCTGTTGCTGTACCTTGGCTCGTGACCCGTTTACTCTTTGCCTGCAGCTCTGTACTGATCTGCCTCCACCGTTACCAACCCGGCTTGTCTGACTACGCTACACTTTGTACTGTCATCCATCCATCCCGCACGGATCCAGTCACTACTGTCCGAACCTGCCAGCCCCTTCACATCAGGCTTTCCTCCGGTACATACCCTCGGCGGACCCCTCTACCACAGTTGGGTGCACTCAGGGGCCGCGACCTGGTCTCAGTCCTGCGCCAAGTCCATCCCCACCATCAGGGGCTCTGGTGAAAAGGCAGACTGGGGCTTAGACTCCGTGCCCTGGGGAATCCCGTTCTGTGGGTCACTAGAGATCCCCCCGGGCGGTGCCTGACAGTACCTTACAGCCTGCCTGACCATTCCACCTCTCCAGCCCTGACTACGCCTCTGTTCCTGAAGCCTGCTACTTCCCTGTGTCAGTCCACACATTTCTGGTCATACCCAGATCCCTGACATTCAAACTTGGACTGTTTGTATGGGACTTCTGTTTATATTCTCCCCTTTCAAAGATGGCCACTGGTGAGAATAAAAATACTTTGATAAATTGTGGAGGTACGTGGATGCCAAGGTCATGGTGTGAGTCTATGCCTCTTTGCCTATGTGAGATCATATCTCTGATTGGCACTAATGCTGTAGTGATATTCAGTGTTGTTAGTGTCATTTCATCTTCTTTCCACAAGATCGTGCTGCGTATCACTTCTGCGCATGCACGACATCATTACGCAGTGACGTCATGACATACGGACGCAGCGTGATGACATAATCGTATCATTTGACGACGCGGACATCTTTGAAAGCAAATCTTTGAGCACTCTTATTTTGTATATGATTTAGAGCACTTTGTACTTATTTATAGGACTGAGATAAAGCAACCTCTGGCTATCCTTTGATATCGATTGGGATCAAGATAACATCAATATGCCTACTTATGCATGATTCCTTCCTGGATAGAGGCATTAGGAGTTATGGGTATGGGCGAACTCTGAGATACAGTGTATAGAGCTAGAAAGCCAATCCCCCCCTTTCCCTTTTAGAAACAGCTTATAGTAGCAGTCTCCAGTCAGGGACAGATTGGGGAATAGCCTCCTCCATGAATGAATGTATATGTACATGCTTATAGTGAACAATGAGAATGGTTGTTTGAAGAGATAACATTGCTGAACAGTGAAGCTGAAAACGCTGATGGGTGAATAATATATTTAATTCAGCTCACTTACAAATATGACTAACTATATTGCGGTTACATTTTGATCCCTGATATGTACCATTACTGATAAAAATTGGTGTGGCTTTGATAACACAATAAGAGGTGCTTTATCCTCTCTCTTATGATATGGCTTTTGAAGAAGGAATGGACAATATTTGCTTGATCTCTTTCTTTAGGAAAACCCCAGGTTCTTGCCTATAAAAATCCTATTATCAAATTAGGTTAACCCATTTGGGTCCCATTGGCTTTGGTACGTGGGCATGCGTACCCCCATTCACTAACACATGCAACTAAAATAATCAATAAATAGTAATATGACTGATATCTGCAGTTGCACGTTGGTAATTTGTGCAATATTAAAATTATAAGTCCATAAAAGAAACTCGGCTCAAACAATGTCCATAGATTCATAAAGTGCAGTAATCTAAAGTGCAGGATGTGAACATGAAATTAATCACACAGGGGAATCCACCACCTCGGGCATATAGGTATATCACATCTGGAGGCAAAGAGGCAGCCAGGGGGTTAAACGAACTGCTCCATCAGAGGCATAGTTGGAAGAGGAAGCCTTGTCCTAGGGAAGATAGTGTGTATCTGAAAGTTGCGCCAGTACACTTGCCCACATAGACAAGTACCGCAGGGAGTCCTCAGCCAATGATTATCAGCCCCCAGTAGTAGCTGCAGTCAGACAGATACACCATGAAGACGAGGTAGAGACATTCCACTAGGATCCAGCTGTGGTTAGTGGCCAAAGCATCACCCCTTCTGAGGATGCACTTTGTGTGCGAAACATGTTAAGAAGGAGCCATACACGCCTGAGACGTCACGCCACCGGATCAAGGAGGTCCGGTGGCCCCCATAACTATCCAGCTGGTCAGTTTTTCTAAATGGTTTATGAACGTTTTTGCTGCATGCTTTGTCTACATTTCATTGGCGATAGCCTCCATTTGCTTTTATGTATGTTTATCACTTTTAACCATTAATAAAAGAATTTATATTTTGACCTACTACACTATGGCCACTATTCTCTGCTCCACATCGAGCATTTAACCCCCCAGGACCATATGGTGACCACCCTGAGGCCCAGAGGAGAGTGACTCATTTAAGCTGACCCCCATCGCAGCTTCCACCAGTAGAGAAGATCTCTCGAGGCACCAGTATTGTGGGACAGCCTGTCCAGTGTGAACTGCACCTTCCACAGGACAAGAGGGTTCCTATTATATACCGACTTAAAACTTCATATCTAAAAGGATTTAAAAAAATCATGAGGCAGCACAGAAACATCCTCGCTAATGAGAATACGTGTGCAGAGGTGCGTAGACCCCACTACATACCTACAAATGAAGCAGACTAGTCAAAGACTTGTAGTAAGAGCCAGGGGCGGACTGACAACACATGGGGCCCCCGGGCAATAGGGGATCATGGGGCCCGCAGTCTCTAGTCTTCTGTACTGTGTCCGCAATCTCTAGTCTTCTGTACTGTGTCCGCAGTCTCTGGTCTCCTGTACTGTGTCCGCAGTCTCTGGTCTCCTGTACTGTGTCCGCAGTCTCTGGTCTCCTGTACTGTGTCCGCAGTCTCTGGTCTCCTGTATTGTGTCCGCAGTCTCTGGTCTCCTGTATTGTGTCCGCAGTCTCTGGTCTCCTGTACAGTGTCCGCAGTCTCTGGTCTCCTGTACAGTGTCTGCAGTCTCTGATCTTCTGTACTGTGTCCGCAGTCTCTGGTCTCCTGTACTATGTCCACAGTCCCTGGACTTCTGTATTATGTCCGCAGTCTGTGGTCGGTCATCTTCTGTACTATGTCCGCAGTCTCTGGTCATCTCCTGTGCTATGTCCGCAGTCTCTGGTCATCTCCTGTGCTATGTCCGCAGTCTCTGGTCATCTCCTGTGCTATGTCCGCAGTCTCTGGTCATCTCCTGTACTATGTCCGCAGTCTCTGGTCATCTCCTGTACTATGTCCGCAGTCTCTGGTCATCTTCTGTACTATGTCCGCAGTCTCTGGTCATCTCTTGTACTATGTCTGCAGTCCATTGGTTCGGAATATTTTTTTTCCTGTTTTCCTCCTCTAAAATCTAGGTGCCTCTTATGGTCAGGTGTGTCTTATGGAGCAAAAAATATGGTACATCACTGACAGCAAAACATTTAAACATCCAAATCATGCTGCTTTGTGACCTTTTCTTTTGATAAGGCGCACTATAGATTTTTACATAAGAGTTTGTATACAATGTAATATATATAAAAAATGTGCTACAGCAGACGGGAGCTTGTGTAACCCCTCCCCCCAACTACTGCTGACGTGCTACGTATGAAAAAAATGTGGGACATGCAGACGGCTTGTGTAACCCCCCCCCCATGCTGACGTGTGGTCGTGAAAAAGGGTTAAACATTCAAAGCATGCTGATTCTCACCTTTTGTTCTGGTAAGGCAGGCTACAGAGTTTACCTGAGGATGTTTAAATGACTACCCCTCCCACCGTCCCAATCTTACTGCATAGCGAAGAAGAGCACACAGATCCAGTTATGACAAGTATATACTTAAAAAAAGAAAGATTTGCTTGTTAGTTTATGTTGATCAGGGCAGGGGGCAATTGAATATATAATATGAACACATTACAATTCAGTTTTTTTATATACAAAGCAAGCATACTTACAACGGTGCAAAAGAGGTATGGCCATATAATGCCATTTTAACATCTCTACCCCAGTTAATTGACAACAATTCACACCTTTACTCATGGAAATCAAGGAATTAATATCCAATCAGGATTCCTGGCACCAACAATGGGGTTATGTAAGGAGGACAGGATGGCACCACAACTTTCAAACCTCCCATCTGCTCTTGGACAACCAATATTAACATGCTGCATGTGATTGGATTAGGCGTTCTTTGGTGTGAATGTAAATAATGAAGTATCTTCCTGACACTCATTGGAACTGAAAAAGTGGCTTAGTAAGTTTGGAAATGTCTTTAAAATTCCAGAACAAGTCTAGATGAATGTGACTACTACTGCTACTGAATAGAAAGATAACAACCGTACTCCAATCGTAGCTCTTCTTGCTGTATGTATCTTTGTGAGCAAGCTGGGATCTGTGAAAAACATTAACCGCTCCCTCCCCCTTCCCCGCCCTATAGCAGAAATACTGCTACAGGGCAGCAGGGGTGTGCAAAATCACATATATATTCACATGATTTTGCATTTCCGGGTAGGGGTCGTGTGCCAGCTGAGCGTGCCCTACCTGTGCCGCCATTCGTGGCCTCGGCTGCCAACCACCGGGTCCCGGCTGGTTATTCCCTGCCGGGACCCGACGGGGGAGAAACCAGTGTATAAACAACACAGATCTCTCCCCATTCAGCTCCTGCACACTGCTTTATATGGCTCTGCATAGCACAACCATACAAAGCAGTGTGCTTACAGTGTAAAGCACACACATACAACATAGTAAAACAGCACACAGCACACAGTTAACCCTTTGATCACCCCAGATGTTAACCCTTTCCTGCCAAGTGCCATTAGTACAGTGTCAGTGCTTTTTATTAGCACTGATTACAGTATTGGTTTCACTGGGGATGTCAGTGACACCAAGTCAGTTCCCCCGTGTCAGAATGCCCCCCGCAGTTCCGCTGTCCCGCTATAAGTCGCTGATTGCCGCCATTACTAGTAACAAACTAAAATTTAAAAAATTCCAGTATATATACCACCATTTGTAAATGTTATAACCTTCACGTAAACCAATTAATTTACACGTATAGGGATTTTTTTCAGCAAAGACATGTAGAAGAATACATTTTGGCCTAAATTGACGAAATTAGATTTTTTAAATTTTTTTATTGGACATGTTTAATAGCAAAAAGTCAAAAATATTGTTTTTTTTTTCTCAAACTTGTCAGTGTTTTCTTGTTTATAGCGCAAAAAATAAAAAAAACACAGAGGCAATCAATTACCACCGAAAGAAAGCTCTATTTGTGGGAAAAAAAGGATGTAAATTTCATTTGTATGCAGAGTTGCATGACCGCGCAATTGTCAGTTAAAATAACCCAGCGCTGTAATGCCAAAAATGGCCTGGTAAGGAAAGGAGGTAAATCCTCAGGAGGGCAAGTGGTTTAACCTCTTTGCGCCGGCACCTCCCGACCCTTTAAGGGTTTCAGAAGCCGGGGGGGCCGGGTGGGGTTTTAAGGTCATGTGACCGCTGTGATTTGCCGTCACGGCGGTCACATGATCAGGAAAGGTCCCGATCGAAAGAGGAGATTGAGACCTTTCCGTGAGTATGGGACATGCGTGCTGGGAGAGTGCGCAGGGCTCGCTCTCAGCACATATGTTTTTGGTAATTGCACGCAAATGTGCGGCCGCTCAGCGTCAAGGCCCAGACATCGGGAGGCCGCACATTTGCGTGCGGCCGGTGTGAAGAGGTTAAGAAAGGTTGTTTTTCGGGTGGAGACATGATGTATGCAGTCACTTTGCTGAACTAAGATTGGAGAGCTAAGATTGGGGTGCAGCTGTTATCTTTCATCCTTTGATGTAGAGAGGAGAAGGACTATGGGAGCCTGCACCCAGATTGTCCATGCATGGTAAGGGGAGCAAGTCTTTAGCGGTGGTATGAATCTGGACTGCTTGCAAGTGCAGGTAACTTATGCCCTGTAGACCAATGTGAAAGTGAAAGAATTCTCTTGTATACTATTCCTTGAAGCTATTCTAAAGCTGACCTTTGTGTTACACATACTGTATGTTGGAATGTGATGGAAACACCTTGTAGTGCTATGGTGCTGGATGTCAGAATTTCATGATCAGATCTTAACCTCTTCAGCACCAACCATTGTAAGGCAAGTGGCTATCTTTACATGCTTTTCTTTGTGCTCATTTGCCTCTTAGTCTTGTGAGCACAGTCATTGGAGAGTGCAAATCACAGAAAAAAGCTACAGAATCATTGAAAATGTCTTTGTCCCAAGTGGTTGCTATGATCAATCGCAGTGATCACAACTGTAAACAATGCCTGTGATCACACTTGTCAATGGCAAGTGTTCATCACAGGCAGAAAGCACAGAGCAAATGAGAATGGCTTTATATCTTGTGATGGTTTGTGACCCATTGCAGTGATCCCAAGTGGCCCACTGGCTGTGATGAGCAGACAGCTCTCCTTTCCCATACCTTCCAACTTTACATCTTGAGAATGAGGGACACTTTAGGAAGAGGTTGACCTGCGACATGACAAAAAGTGGGTGTGGTTAAATTACATGAAATATTGGGTGTGGCTTAAACTATATTTTTTACTTTTTGTTATTAAACATGTCCAATAAAAAAAAAATTTTCCTACATTTAAAAAAAATACATGTAAATTAATTTCTTTTATAGCGTTTACAAATGGCGGTATATATACTGGAATTTTTTTTCCCTACTAGTTATAGTGGGACTGCGGGGGGCATTCTGACACTGGGGGGGAACTGACTTGGTGTCACTGACATCCCCAGTGACACCAATACAGTGATCAGTGCTAATAAACAGCATTGACACTGTACTAATGGCACTGGGCAGCAAGGGGTTAACATCTGGGGCGATCAAAGGGTTAATTGTGTGCTGTGTGTGTTTTTTACTGTATGCTGTGTGCATGCTTTACACTGTAAGCACACGGCTTTGTATGGCTGTGCTATGCAGAGCCATACAAAGCCGTGTGCAGGAGCTGACAGGGAAGATATTTGTGTTGTTTATACACAGGTCTCTCCCCCATTGGTGATACTCGGCGATCAACGGGTGCCGGTGAGTAATCACTGGCCGGCACCCGGTGATTGACAGACAAGGCCGTGAATGGCAGCGTGCGCCCCCTATTTGGAACTGCAAAATCATCAATCTGCACACCCATGCCGCCCTGTAGCCGTATTTCTGCTATAGGGCAACGCAGAAGTGGTTAATAGTCTGATTAGAAACAAAAAAAATAAACACAACTGGGGACTTATCTCAAATTTAATTCACACACTGTATACACTGTCCCCTCCCTGTACACACTACCCCCCCACCCTGTACACACTACCCCCCATCTCTGTATAAATTGTCCCCTCCCTGTGCACAATTGTCCCCCCTCCCTGTACACATTGTCCCCCTCCCTTTACACACTGCCCCCCTCCCTGTACACACTGCTCCCCATCTCTTTATACATTGTCCCCGTCCCAATCTTACTGCATAGCAAAGAAGAGCACACAGATCCAGTTATGACAAGTATATACTTAAAAAAAGAAAGATTTGCTTCAAATATGTTAGTTTATGTTGATCAGGGCAGGGGGCAATTGAACATCTAATATGAACACATTACAATTCAGTTTTTTTTATATACAAAGCAAGCATACTTACAACGGTGCAAAAGAGGTATGGCCATATAATGCCATTTTAACATCTCTACCCCAGTTAATTGACAACAATTCACACCTGGAAATCAAGGAATTAATATCCAATCAGGATTCCTGGCAACAACAATGGGGTTATGTAATGAGGACAGGATGGTGTGACGATTGCGACGTCAGACCCCCGCCCTTCTCACCAAACTCGTGACCGAAGGACTAGTCAATCTAAAACCGCGATGTCACGTGCGCAACAATGCCACGCCCAGCTGCACCCTGCACAACGATTTTCCAGCTCACTGGACCACAAATCGATGTACCGGCAGCCTGAGCGCGATTGTTACTGGGTCAGGTTAATTACGCAATTAACTCTTCACACTGCCACCACCTCCTTTTTGTACAGAGAAAGAGGAAACTCGGCAATATCAGCAATAACACTATGGTGGTTAGATAATCGTCTGTATACCACTGTCACCGCAGACAGGTTATACAGAGGGTTAAACACACACAGTAGCGTTCTTCAGCGGCATGAATTCGTAAGTTGCATTAAGGAGCTTTAGAAACAGTTCAACACTTTCAGAAAGTAAGATTTATTACTAAAAGGTCAAAAAGGGTGCAATAAAAATATTTACAGAAAAAAGATGTAGCCAATATATATATATAAATATACAGAGAAC